TTTTAATCTTGCATTGGTAAACTTTGGCCTTGCTTTGTGGTACAGTACTTCTGTTAGGTGTCACCTGTTGAATGTATGGATCTAGAGTAGGGCCCATGAAGCGACATCTACTGGAGGGGGATAGTTCAATTAGGCATTAGTCTTGTTGCTTTCTGGTGTTTCTGTCAGATGTCGACTGGATATATGTCTCTGCATTTGGACTCATGAAGCGACATCTATTCAAGGAGAATAGTGCAACTATACATTATTTAATGTACAGTACCAATTTGTTTCCAAATGTTCCATTAACTGATTATTTTAAAGCTTTTTGTAGTTGAATAACTTCTATGGATGGTTTTTTTTCTGAGCAGGTAAATTGCTTGCAACTATACATTATTTAATGTACAGTACCAATTTGTTTCCAAATGTTCCATTAACTGATAATTTTAAAGCTTTTTGTAGTTGAATAACTTCTATGGATGGTTTTTTTTCTGAGCAGGTAAATTGCAATGTAAATGCAACAGATTTAAACATTGCATTGAAATGGCATCTTTCTATTTGTTGGGGCATTATATACTTGATTCTGTCCATTGATTCTTGTTCTTTTCTGTTGTGAACTGTATCTTGAGCTGCTTCAAAATGAGTTTCTTACAAAAGGGGAATAAAGTTGTCAATTTTTCTGCTAATTTCCAAATACAGTATTTCAACAGCCTCTGTACTAGAATTTTATATAGGGCTCAAAGTAAATGAATGTGTTCTGAAGCTTAAACATAAGCTTAAACAGCATGAACATAAGAAATGAAATAAATTTACTTTATTGACTTCTGAATAGAAAAAAGAATGCAAAACAAGTTGCGCTATCACAAGAATCAATACTGTACTGTATAGGAAATCATTCAGGAGATGTTGGATTGATTCACATGCAAGTTGCACATTTTGATATTGATATCAAAGGAACTCTTGAAATTCAACCCAAAGATTCTTCAAGCTCTTTGAAAGTATTGAAACAGCCTTTTTTGGTGTAGAATAATCAGAGCAAAAGATTTTCTGGCCCAATTATTTAATCTGTTATTTATCCAAAATTGTCTTACCTGTAGGAAGTTTTCCAGTGTCCTTGTGAAATTAATTGGGGCATTAATTTGCATTTTATTTTCTTGTTTTTTGGGGAATTTGTTGCAAAAATTTAATTCCACATTATCAACTCGGAGGCCTTGGAACTTTTTATTTTAACCTTCCAGTTGCGAAAGGTTTGAATTGTAGACCTTTAAGGGATGGGCCAATAACTAAATGAAAATTGTAATTAAGAAGGTTCAAAACCAAAGAAATGCAAGTGGCCAATGATTTTATGCTTTGAAAAAAAAAGAGGTTGGAAACTGTGTTGAAAATTTGGAAAAGCGTGTTTTCCTTTGTGATGGATTTGTTGCACTTGTAATCGTCACGGCGTTTCTTTCATTGTGAAGTAGATGTCGCCTCAACATAGCATTTGAGTTTTTTTTTTTCAACGTTAAATAGGGTGCTCGGTGAAGTCGTGAATTTGAAAGTGTCCTTTAGTCCTTTTTCTCTTTTCCCAAATAAATTGACGATACTTTTTTCTTCATCACGAGGAATTCGTTGGAAGCCCTTCTGACGACCGTCGTGGAAGAAACGGAAAAGCGGAAGCGAGTGGAAGCTGAGTTGATGAGGACCAGGAAGGAGAATGCGGATTTGAAAGCCCGGGTTTCCAGGCTGGAATACCTCAATGGTTTCACTGAAAACACGGCCTTGACTGTCGAAGACACCTTGTTGAGATTCCAGTCATTTCTCGATGCCCTCGCCTCACTAAGGTCCATGATTTTTTTTAATTTTGTTGTTGTTGCTTTTTGCTACGAGCCTTGTCCCGGTTCCGCGCGCCCTTGGCCTCTTCATTGAATTTTTGTTTCGATGTATTCTGTGTCATAGTATCTTGAACTGTCTTTTTAAAAAATGAGTTTCTTAAAAACAAAAAAAGGATGAAAGTTTTACTTGCGGTGATTTTTTTCTGGTAATTTCCTGGAATTGGAGTAGCTTCCATTCTGGACATTCATGAAGGGTTATGAAATTTGAACAATTCAGTACTTAACATTAAAAGTTGAGCGAATTTACATTATTGACTTCTTAAGGCAGGCGAAAAGGCCTCCAGAGAAAAAGAAAGAAATTTTTTCACCTTAATCGTCTTATTTTTCGTAAATTTTCGATATACAGTACAGTGATTTATTTTCAAGATGAGCCCGCAGAAAAAACAATTTTTTTCTGTGCTCTTTCCTTTTAGTTGCTTGATGATATCATCACGTTATTTTTTTTTTCAATTTGAATGTAGGTGTTCATCTTTGTTTATCCATGTCAATTTTTTGAAAATAACTAAAGCAAGCTGCTCTTGAAACTTTCGCTTGAGTCATTTTCCATAAAGAATTGGTTACTTCGAAGCATTCGAAAATGTCAGAAATGCTTATTTTCGTTAGCTTGAAAAGTGTAAGGGTTATCTTGGAGATTCTGTATATTCAATTGATTGATTGATTATTTATTTTAATGGTCCGAATTTTAAAGTTTCTTGTGTTTTTCAAAGATTAGTTTTTCTGTTAAACGTGAATCAATAACCGGTGGCTTTTTTTTTTAGTTCGTTGTGCGAAGTAATTACTGCGTTATCCGGAGTTAAAAAGAAAAAAGCAAGGCTCATGATTCGCTTTTTTTTTGCTCTGTCTTCAGGTTGGAGTACCTCAGTGAAGTTGAAGCGGAATTTGACAAAATGCGGACGACAGGCGATTCTCAAAATGATCCGTATAGCGAGGATACTTTTGAATCCGAAACTGACTCGTGAATTCTGTATTTTATTTTTCTGTGATGGCTGTTTTTATTTTTCATCTTCGCGTCAAGTGAAATAGTACATTTTTTTTAATATGCTTCTGAAAACTGAAATTGATTTTTTGATTATTTCCATGTGTCGTCTTGGACTTCGAGTTTTTATTTTGCTCTACAACATTTTGCGACTTTTGTTTTTAGACTGAGAATGGTCTTGAAAAGACTCGGTGAAGATACTGTGAGGTTGGTGTCGAGTTCTCAAGTGATCACGTCAGTGGCGTCGGTGGTGAAAGAATGTGTCGAGAATTCTTTGGACGCGGGGGCGACGATTGTAGAGGTCAGATTGGTGAGTTTTTTTTTTTTTAAATGCATATGTGATGGATTTTTGTGTGACGAGGACGTTGTCTTCTTTTTTTTCTGCTTTCAGGAAGATTATGGTTTCGACAGCATTGTTGTCAAGGATAACGGATGTGGGTTGAATGATGAAGATGCTAAATGCATGGCTCTGCCTCACTACACTTCCAAGATCTCCAGTTTCTCTGATCTAGGTAATATTCATTAAAGAAAATAGTTTTAAATGCAGTGAGACCCCCAGATGTGGACGTTGTCGTGGGTCGACTAGATGTCGCCCAAAGCAAACGAGATCGCACCATGAAGAAACTAGATGTCGCTCATGGTCGCGCCACGTTGCTTAGAAGCAACTGGAGTTCTCTAGAACTCACAAGAAGAAA